CCACTGCAAGATACTATAATGAAAAGCCCAGTTCTGGTTCCGACCCGCAGGCGGATTGAGTTGTGATTCCAGCAGCTGAACTTGTTCCTCCTCCGTTTCTGAATCTCTATTGATTTGGCTCACAGCATCTTTTCTCTGATTAATAAGCGCCTGTGTTTGCCGTTCCCCAATAACGAGCTCGGCTGCTCTCCGCGTTCAGAGGTAAACAATTCTTCAGGATTATGGATCCGGCGACACGTCACGTCTCAGCGGTTCACTTGTAAAAGCTCATTTCAATGACAAAATAAAAAGTTCAGCGCCGACACAGTTTGCAGACACGCTGGGCTAATTAGACGTCGCTAAGCAGCGGAGTGAGGAAGCTGACACAAAGACAGTAATTTATGACTTTACTGACGGAGTGGAGGCTGAAGGGAAACGCGTTTCTGCTCCAGACAACACGCTGCTCTCCCTGGGGCCCGGCTGGAACCAACCCGGTTCTGACCCACCAACATCTGGGAGAAACTGAGCAGAATTTGTGAAACAAACAGGAAAATGAATCAGAGAGAGAAAGAGAAAAAACATGAAAACCATGCATCTTAGAGATTTAGCAGTTTTTGCTAAATGTCTGTTGTGCTGTGCTATGTTGAAACAGTGCAATAAGCAGGGATCACACGCAGCTCAGCTTCAGTTCTCTTTACTCTCTTCTTCTTCATACAGCATCTTATCACATACATAGTCAGAGCTCCCCCTGCTGTCCTTTTCATGCAATAAGACATAACAATGTCCTAGTTAAAGTCACGAGGAAACCACTACAGTTTCAGAGGTTGTAAACTTTGTGTTTGAATTCAGCAGAGACGAAAGTTTGAAAGGAGCAGGTCCGTTAGCGGTCCGGCCCGAATGACCAGAACCAGACAAGAGAAGAAACCAGGCTGGGTTCAGGAAGCCAACAGGCGATGACCAGAAACAAACGGTGGAAACTCACCAGGACTCCGTGTCAGTTCAGGTTCTGATGGGCTTTTATGGTTTCTACGTGATGACATCTGGCAGCTGAAACACCGAATGAACATAATTATTCACACCTGTGATCCATTTATTTTAATCTTCCACTTTTCCAGGGTCGGGTCCAGAGTCTCCGTTAATCAGACATTCTTTGTTTTTTTTTGTTTTGTTGTTTTTTTGCTAATACCCAGCCAGCATGCCTAGGTGGGACCCATGTGGGGACAAGGAGGGCAGACTATATGGGTCCCATATGGGTTTGTCCGCGGGTTCCACGATGGCCCCACATGGGTTTGCCCATGTAGGGCCACAGCCCACATGGGCCCTGCATGGGCCCTAATTGGACAAAACCCATGTGGGCCACCACCATATAGGGCCCATGCAGGGCCCATGTGGGCTCTGGCCCTACATGGGCAAACCCATGTGGGGCCATCATGGAACCCGCGGACAAACCCATATGGGACCCATATAGTCTGCCCTCCTTTTCCCCACATGGGGCCCACCTAGGCATGCTGGCTGGGTAACGAATAAATACGAAACTAAAAGCGTTTATACGTTATAAAAATGTTCATCTGTCTCCTCTGGAGGAATCTCAAGGCGTTTCAGGCCAGACGGCGTGAATTTACGGTTCCTGTTCAGAGAACCACGTCTTCTGAATCTGTAAGTAACCAGAGCGCCGGCGGGGAGGCTTGTTCCTGGTTGACCAGCATAAATACTAAATTATTAAATCTTTTACTGGATAATTTAGCTTTTGTGTGATTTCTCGCCGGATCCGTTTTATTCCGTCGCCGCGTCAGTAGCTGAGGAGAAGTCAGTCAGTTTCCAGATTTGCTTTGGAAACTTCCAGCTGAAGGTTGCTTTGTCCCTCTGACTCGACTCTTCAGAAGAGAACAAACATTTCAAAGAGAAATCTTCTCTCTCACGTCTGAATGGAAACAAAAGGCAGGGAGGAGAAACACGCCGTCCCGGGAGAAGGCCTGGTTCCTCCGTCAGCCGACACTCCGCTTCAAAGTCCTTTTCTTTCTCCGCCGAGCACAAAGCCGGAGCTGCAGCACCAAACAGCTCACACGGTTATAATGGAGGAAGAAATGAAACGCGAACGGAGCAAAAAGTACCTGGAAGCAGACAGAGAACTCAGCGCAACACAAAGCTGCAACTTATCAGAGTTTAGCAGAAACAGGTTTTACACCGGAAAACATTTCATGATGAAAGACCGAGAATCTCTGGTTCCTCTGGTTTTCTCAATGAATCCACTTTTATCTTCATCTTTCTAATAATACAGATTAAAAACCAGCAGGTCAAAGCCAGAGACTTTAACCTGAAGGTGAAAATAAATCTGCATTCACTGAAATGTTATTTATTCTCAGTTGTAGTGAACTGAGATGAAATCAAAGTGATTTATAAGAAAGAAAAATTATGAGAATATAAAAATATAAACTACTGGAGGCTTCAGAACCGAACTGAACTAAACTGAAGAGATTCGATCCAAACTGAACATCAGTGTGTCAAACTGACCCAAATGTTCCAGCTTTATTCCAGCTGCTCTGATTGGTCAGCTCTCTGATTGGTCAGTTTTGATTGGTCAGTTTTGATTGGTCAGCTCTCTGATTGGTCAGCTCTCTGATTGGTCAGCTCTCTGATTGGTCAGCTCTCTGACGTCCTGCAGGTCTTCTTCCTTTTTGCTCCTGGTGAGTCACTGCCGCTCCAGTCTGAGTTGGACGTGAAGCTAACGATCCGCCCTCAGCTCTCTGGCAGGCGGCCAGCCTGAAGCGATGTCACATGATCTGCTGTCCAAACCTTCATCAGCCTCTTCATCACTGCCAACAGGCTGCAGACAGAAAAAGATTCTCTGTCCTGATTTAGTCTTTCCTGCTGCATGCTGGACACATTCATATTTTTGTGCATTTTGATTTCTTCCTTCATTTTGGACGTTTCTGTTTATTTCCAAGGTTTTTCTGTGGCTAATTTTATGCACGTCTTCTGGATCCTCATTTCTTCCCCCTGGTCAGTTTGACGGCCAGCCCAGTTTTCTGTGGCTCAGCCTTCCTCCCAGCAGTCAAACCAAGACTTCCTGTTTCCTGTCTGATAAAATATGAAACCAAACGAGAGAGAGGGATAAATATCTGAGACTCAGATGACAGAGTAGCACTGAAGGAAAATCACCCAGAAATCAAAATGTTTAGGAGTTACACAGTAAAAATAAAAGAAAAAACAGACAGAAAATAAAGGAGGAAACCAGAAGAGACTGAGTGAATAAAGGAGGATTGAGGGCAGATGCTGGTTGGACTTTAAGGCCACAACATGAGAGCTCAGCGCTGCGCTTCCTGCTGGATGGATGATCCAGTAAATCCGTCCTCTGCTGCAGGAGGATCGTTACCGCAGGGAGCCGGGCTCTGACTCGGCTAACAGGCTCACAACGAGAAACTAGTCTGGAGCCGTCCGAGTCCAGGCTGCTGCAGAAACCAGAGGAAACGGGTCCACTCCGTCTGTTTCCACGGCTCAAACAAAAAACCTGAACAATCTCTACGCAGGAAGTCAAACTCAGCTTCACTCTGGGTCAAATCATGAACCTTCTTAAAGGGCCAGATGCATAAAACCATCAACAAAATAAGTAGATTATATGTCTGAATTCAGTAGCTGCATCTTTTTAATGAGTTAAAAAAGTCACTGATTTTGTGAAGCTAAGTTAGAAATATCTGCAAGAAATTTTCCCGTATTTGCGTTTATGTCTGACAGTAAATGTGACTTTTTGTTTCTCGCCGTATCGATTAGACCAGAGGTTCCCAAACTGTGGGGCGCGCCCCCTAGGGGGGCCGTCTGGATGATAAAAAAAACAAAAACAAAACATGAACACTGTATGCTACCTTAGAACGGCCAACTCTCTGTTATTCCTATGTCAATTTGATACAGTAGAGGCATCCAAACTTTTCATATTTGTGTCCTCTGTCACTTTTATCAGCAGTTAAAACTGTTTAATCCATTGTTAACATGTTGTAACCTGTTTTTCCGAGCCGCCTTTAAACGCAACATGAGCGCTACGACACTCGCGCTGGGTTTCCACCTGTGAAGGAGACCTGCTGCTGCTGGGCGGAGCTACGTAGGTTTGTGTTAGAATCACGGCAGCAAACCAGCAAAACGCAAAGAACTTTTCACAGTTTTTCCCTCCAAACTGAGTTGAGTAAAGCTGCTGGATGCAAGTAATGTTAGCTAAAAGATGACTAGCTAATATCAATACAGAACCTTAAGCTTAACAAGTACCTTGTAGGCTACCGATGTTGGTGTCTATTTTCAGCTACATACATTCATTTTGCCCCAAAAAAAGTCGTTTCAACCAGACAGCCATTTGTAATCCATAGGTGGGGCGGGGGGGCGCAGAAAATGTTTGGGAACCACTGGATTAGACGATAATTTCACCTCCAGTCCAGCTGAGGCAGCGCAGAAGGAAGAAATACTGCCACCTGCAGGTGGGAGTTAGCATCACAAAACACAGTTTTATCATTTTTACAGAAACTCACAATTATGCATTAGAGCAAAAAAAGTGCAGGATTTGTTGACTTTGCGTGAATTTCCATGCTTACGGAGGGACTGACTGATTTATCAGCCGAGGTGGAGAGAAACAGGAAGTTGAATCGTCTCTTCCTGTTTCTCATCAGGAAGAGAAACAGGAAGTTGAATCGTCTCTTCCTGTTTCTCATCAGGAAGAGAAACAGGAAGTTGAATCGTCTCACCTGCACGTTAGCATGCGAGGATAATAATGAAACTATTGCCTAGCAACAGTCTTCAGTCAGAGGCCTCTTCAGAATCACTGTGTGACTGACTGCTGCTGGAGATCCTCAGCATCCACAGACTCTTTAAATGATCTGACATTTAGTTTCCTTTGTGATAAACTTCCTTCAGGGCCTGTGCTTCAGATTTTATGTACTTTCTAGTTTTTGATGGATGAACTTTATTCTTTCTGTATTTAATCTGTTTTGAATAAAAGTTTGAGTGTTTTGTTTGTTTATGAGTCAATAAAAACAGAAGCAGAACTGAAATCATTTTAATCAGTTTCTCCCGCCTGCTGATCCGCCCTGAAACGTTAAAGTTTCGTCTGCAGCAGCTTCAGGTTGGCAGAAGAAGTGAAAATCTTTCTGTGGTTTCTGAAGCAGAATGGATTCCCTACCGGAGGAGACGGTGCTGAAGGAGCCGTTTTCTAAAGTCAGCGGTCTGTTGCTGCTCCTTCACAGAGAGTTCAGTAAAACGCCACCGGGCGGCGAAGAGGAACGTCTCTGTCAGGGAAAATATAAATGTTTCAGTGTGTTTGTATCTGCAGGCTCCTGTGAGCGTTTAACCTGCCAGACGTTCCAGGGATTTAAATGTTTCTGAGGGATCAGGACTTCCTCCGTTTTCTGCTTCCCTCCTGCAGAAACATGCAGATCCAACTCACTGCTAGGCTTATGATGTCATAAATCATTCATGTCAACAACACGACCTAAACGGCTTTAAATCAGTGAAATATTTACAGTGTGGCAGCTGCTTCAGAAGTTCAGACATTTGAGTAAAATAATCAAATCTTGTTTTATTGATCTGAATCTGAAACAGAAGGAAAATTCTCCAGGATTCTGATGTCAAACTGAACTTAGAGATTTTTTTTCTGCGTTGTTGGAAACTTGTGACGACGTTCTGCAGCCATGCTGCATCCTGAATGATCAATTATTGTAATACTGATAATACTGCTGTTTTAAAATCATTATATTGATAATGGCATAATGATTAAAGTTTTCTTACGTCCTTTCCAATCCGTTTAAACCCTGGTTGTACGTGTCCATAGATTTCAGGTCAAGCTCTCCAGATATTTTCTTTTTGTTGGTCTAGAAGCCATGATGGTTCAGCTACAGTCTGCGCTGCACTTGCCTACCAAGATGGCGGATCAGTGGCGCGACTCACTTCTGGTTCACATTTGTGGGAACGACATATTGAACTGCCAGGCTCAGAAACGGCGATCAGCAAAAATAATGCAGAAGTTTGCAAATTTACAGAAACAAAGAAATAACCTTAATCTGTCCAGACATCAGTCAGCTACACAAGTTGGTTTGAGGTGAGTTACACTTTAAAGGAATCTGTCTCCAGTCTTGCTGTCAGAACTAGCAGCAGCTAACTCTGTGTTAGTAAGACGTCCAGCTGTGAGGACGCAGCGCTGCACCCGACTGTAAAAATCTGACCGGCGGAGCAGCGTCTGGTCATCCATTAACCGCATCGATCATCTTCAGGGTCCAGCTGCCTTGATGCTGCCTGCAGGACATGCAGAGCATCATAACCAACAATCCGTTGACACTGCCAGTCGATATCTGCACATTATTAAGAGCAAGCAGCAGCTGCACTTACTGCTGACGGATTCTGCAGGTTTCCAGACTGACGGACAAATGTCAGGTCGCCGTTTGGCTGCTGACGTTTCCACCTGGATCTGGACCCAACGAACCGGGTCCAACCTGCAGACACTACAGAAATAAAACTGGTTCAGATCCTCACTGACTGACTCAGCTGCAGATGTTATGTTGGGATTCTGCAGATTCACTCTGGCTGCTGGGAACAAGGAGCATTAGAGAGGAAAACATGGGGAGCAAATTTCTGCCAAAAAACTCAGACTAATCTGAGAAATTTTCAAGAGAACAAATGTTTAAAAGAAAAACAATTTTGAACCTTTGAAGCTCAGAAAGTGTTAGTAGAAAATTTCTGAGATGAATCTGAAAATTTTGCAGTGTTTTTTAGGAAATCTGACTTTTCAAACACAAATTAAATTTTTTTCTAAAACATTCCTGAGGTTTATTTTTATGTTCTTTTTTCCATCTATGGCTGTAATTAATCTCTGAATGAGTTTCCCATCATGAAAAATTATATTTTATCTTTCAGATCCAGTTTGCGTGAAATCAACCAACTGGTAGAAATGAAGAACTGGACTGGAAATGGAATCAGTTCTTTATTCACAGAATGTGTAAACAGAAATAGTTTCTGTAATTACAGTCTCATTTTGTGTACAGTTGATTTAATTTAATTCCTTTATATTTTAATATTCTGACATTGCTGCAATCCTTCCTATGTTGTTTTGCATTTTTTACAGTGTAATTCTGGAAACAGCAGCAGCCAATAAGTTGCAGCCAAATTGATTTTTACAAGAAATGTCATTTTATATCATACAGTTCTGCCATGTTTTCACTGATACGACTGTTTTTACAGTTTTAACAGAGTCGTACAAAAAGCAAAGACAAAAATATATTCTCCGTTCTCCAGATCATGGTGAGTTTGAGCTCCAACCATCTGGGGAGAAATTTCTGTAGCCAGGATTATTCAGACACATTTTAAATGTAATCTGGCATGACGTTTTCACTCAGTTGGTTTGTTGATATTTCATACACTTCCTGTTTTTCTATTTTTTATTTTTTTTGCCTTGCTCCAAGGAACATTTTCATAAAGAGTCGATATTAAAGTTAAACTGGTAAATCTACAATTTCTATAGAAATTAACTAAACCTTTCAATGTCCTGTACTGTTAAAGTGATGCTTCCCAAACGTTTTTTCTCTATGGCTGAATTTCCTGCAGTGAGATTCTGGCAGACATAGCTAACGGTAATTTAGTCCACCAAGATGTGAGGTCGGGTCGAAGCGGACCGGAGTCGGGTCGAAGCGGACCGGAGTCGGGTTCAGGCGGACCGGAGTCGGGTCGAAGCGGACCGGAGTCGGGTTCAGGCGGACCGGAGTCGGGTTGAAGCGGATTTCTGGCCTGGTTTTCCTCTGAGACGTTTCTTAATGTCAGCTCCTTCATTCAGACTGCTGAGTTTCATCTGAATTAAAATAGTCGTATTAAATAATCATAATGTTATTTAATCCTCAATCACATGTTGGTTTTTCTTGTCCAGACCGGTCGGAACTGGGAGCGGACCCAGATGAAGTTCCGGCTGTTCGCTGCTTTATTACCATCGTTACCCAAAGCGTGACTCCTGCAAATCAACGCTGACTCGTAATCTGGTTGCGTCTTCCTGCGGGTTGAGGTGATGAGTAGCGGCAGCCTCGACATTACGCCAGTAAAGATCAGTGAGCGGTGAAGCCAGCGCTCTGCGGCGCAGAACCGGCTCTTTAAGTACATTATGACATCAACGCAGCCCATTGGAGTTAATTGAAGCGCTCTGGGCTGTGCATGAGGATGACAGCAATAGCTCATGATTTATTGTTTTCATTTGGGTAATTTTGCTTCTTCATCTGCCGTCTCGCTGCCCACAGCACCAGATTCATTTCAACACCACAGCCTGAGTCACTGATGAACAAGATGTCAGAAAACTGAACCGGAGGTGCGACAGTCCAACCGGTCACATGAGTTCACTCCACAGCAGAGATGAGCAGGTCGACGTTCATCATCCAGCCTCCAGTCTGAAGCTCCAGGTTTTTCTGAACCTTAGAGAAGCTGCTGCTGGCAGGAACCTGAACTGCGTGCAGTCCGGTTCTGATGGTGAGGTGTGAATGCTAACTGACCTCTGACCTCTGGTCCTCCAAACCTCGATCTGGGTTTGGCTGAAGTGAACTCTGGTTCAGTCTGAATGTGAACACCAAGCGAACCAGAGACCGCTCCAAAAGCAGGAAGTGGACTACAGCGCAGGGCATTCTGGGTAAATACAACCAAAGCTAACATGCTAGCCTAGCGCTAGCAGCAGAAATGGCTCCTGGTCTTTAGCCTAAAGAGAAATCCTCCAACTGCTAAAATCTGACGCCTCCATCTTGTTTCCATCTGGTGAAGAAGGAAGTTGCTCTCAGTGTTTTCAGAGGTTTTTGTGTCGTTTCCTTCAGTGGTTCTTGGTGCAGCGCCCCCACAGGCCAGGAGGGGAACAGGTTGGTTTGACTCAGAGCAGCTGGAGGTGGAGCAGATGTTCTGGTTCCAGTAGAACCGGGTCTAAGACTGAAACCAGTGTCTCATTTTTACTTTCTCTTCCCAGGGTCTCATTCTTCCTGTTGTGGTTTCTCTCATCTTCTCAGGTGAGAGGAGGTGAGAGATGGAGATGTAAAGCTGGAGTTTCTTCTTCTGCACCACAGATCAGAGCGATCTTTTCATCTCTGCAGACCAACAGCATTAAACTCTCAGCATCACCATCAGTAATTCAGAAAATTGAGTGCAACCCTTCAGAGTGTTTACGGCCGAATCCGGTGCAGTTTGGCTAAAGGGATGAAAGTTTTATTTATGTGTCGTCATCCTCTCTGCTTCGGAGGAAAAGCCGTTTTCTCTTCAACCGGCTGCTGCGCCGTCGGGCCTCCAGTTTCTGTGACTCATCCTGTGAAACTCATGAACTCTGGCAGCAGACAGGTAGACTGACCCTGAGCCAGAGCGGCTAAATTTACTGCAGCAAACTGACGATTTCTCACAAAAAGAAAACGACACTTGGGCCCAAAACCAGCAGTCAGAGCTTTAATTGGGCTGATCTACTGGGTGTTGCTGGTTCTGTAGAAACAAGGAGCTGGAGGAGTTTCAGCTCTACGGTTTTCCTGACGCTCCGTTATGTTTCTGTGTGGCAGTAATGATGTTGCACCTCCATCTGTGGACAGCAGTTTGGTTTGCTCCTCATTAGCAGTCTGCTGAGGTCCGGCGGGTTGCAGCGGGTCGGGCTGAAGCAGCGAACAGATGGCGGCCGAGCCACCAGCACGTTTCACATCCAAGCCCCGAAAGATGGGAGGCGCCGAGGATATTCAGCTGAAGAACAAATGAACCAAACGAAGGCAGCTGGAGATCTGCACTGCAAAAACTAAACATTCCCAGTTAGTTTTGGTTTAGTTTGTGGAAGGGACGCACCGATCCGCGGGTTTCATTTCTGATATCTGAGGTTTAGAATCAGCCGGTACCGATCCGCAGAACTGGCTTTGAACAGAGACATAAATGTAGTGAATTATTAATTTATCTGATAACTCTGCACCAGAACAGCTTCACCATGTCAACAAAACAACTTTACTTCATTACTTCATAAAAACAATCCCTTAATAGCCATTAACTAATATTTATAATTATTTATTAATTTGAAGTGGAAAAACCATTTGAACTCCTAACAGGAGGTTATGCTCCACTGCAGATTATTTCTCTTAAATCGAGTCGATTTATTGATGTAAAATAAAGTCCTGATTCTAACTGAACCGTCCGTTTTAAATGAGTTTACTTTAAATCCGTCTTCCAGTTCATCACTTCACCTGACAGATCTGCTTCCTTTCGGTCCAGAACCAGAACCAAACTCTAAACTGTCAGGAGGAAACGTGTGAAATCAATAAAGTTCATTGATCTGAACTCGTCTTAATGATTAGTTTCCATGTTTTAATCTTGTTTAACCTGCTGAACTTCTAGATTTGCTAGTTTTTATTTTATTTTCCGTCTCGTTGGTCCCATAATGAATATGAATAATAATGAGCGTGTTTAAGCTGCATGGTGTCGGTTCTGGCAGGCAGAGGAACCAGCCGGGTCGGTTGGTGTTTCTGGGCTTCAGCCAGGCGCCGACTGCCAACATACGGCCTCTTTATTACCCATCATACGCAGGAATAAATCACAAACTGAGGTTCTGCTGGTTAATCACCGTGGTGGGCTGGAGGTCCGTATGGACCGGCGGGTCATTACAGGGCCCAGATGGAACGTCCTGGTTCTGGTTCTGCTCAGGATTAAAGGGAAAGAGGAAGAGGTCTGATCGGACTTTAAAGGTTTCCTGGTTCTGAAAGTTCTGGTGGTGATTAACAGCATTAAATATGAAAGTGACTGAAATCAAACCAAAACATTTATTTATTTAGCTTCGTTTGTCAGGGTGAAAATAAAACTTTTAATCATTAAAGATACTTTTCATTAAGCCGCAGGTTGGTTTGACTCAGAGCGGAGAGGAAGAACCAGACCTGGAGGTGGAGCAGATGTTCTGGTTCCAGTAGAACCGGGTCGACCGGACTGAAGGAGGGAAACAGAGTAAATACCAGCAGGGTGTGAAGACTTCCTGAGTTTGTTCTGGAGAACCTGGCAGCTTCAGAAAACTGAGAAACTGCAGAAACACTGAGTTCCTGTCAACCTCCAGCTGTCAGACCGACAAACGCTCGGCTGTTCTGTTGTTTCATTTCCATTTAAACACGTCGAGTCTTCCTGAAAAGGGCTGATGCTAATAAACTTCTTTGTAATGAGAAATAAATCTAAAAGCTCCAGGTTCTGGACCCGCGGCCGGGTCCAGAACCTGCCCCCTCAAACCCACCCGCCCTGGTTGGGGTCATGTCAGCTCCAGTTTGTCAACAATATAAAACCAGTTTGCTGTTAAACTGGGATGTTTGGAGCCATAAAAGCTACAGCAGCGTTTTATGAGGGAGCTGGGAAATAAAGCAGCGTTAACGGCTGGAATCACGTGTGTGTGTGTGTGGGGGGGGGGGGGGGAAGGGGGGTGGGGGGGGTTTTGGCGAAAAAA